TGTAGTGGGACAGGGATCCTGAAACTTAGCAAAGGGTTAAAGGGGAAACTATTTATTCCAAAATTTAAATTTTCTCCATCTTTTTTGGAAATTCCAAAATTAACATGTCTTGGGATTCAGTAAAGAAATTTTATATGATGTGATTTTCGAGAAAAATCGGGAAAGTTCATATTATTTTTTGTGCATTCGTCTTCAAACAATCCTCATGAGTGGATGTATCAACGTATATTTTTGTAAACTCTTTTTGAAACGTTTGCGTTAACAACTCATTAGTTTGAACAACCTGGCCCAGGGATACAAAAAACTATTGCAGATAAATGTCATGATTATAAGCTCATTTATTTGCATTTTGGTTGGAGGAGAAAAAAAATAAAAAATTGGTCCTTAGTCTTTCAAAACCAATTTGCCTTATGTTTACTTGTAATGACCTAGCATAACTAGATATGCAAAAAATTACTCTCAAAATTGTCTCTCTCAAGAATGACAAGATCTCGAACAGAGAGAAGAAGGCCCCATATCCCACCCCTGAAGTGAAGCTTAGAGCAGTCGGGGTTTTTCACAGATGTAATATGTAGTGCAAATACCTGTTGAACTTACCTGTACAAGTACAATGTCCTTTTAATTAATTCACACACCCGAATCTTTCATACAGAGATGCCTGTCGATACACCACGAGTTGTGCCTGTAGGGTAAACGTTTTGGCATAATTCCAAACCACTATTAGCATATAAACATTTGATGGATATCCAAATCCTTAAGTAAACTTGAGTTATCCTGCACTTTTAAACACTTTCATGAAACAGCCATTTTGTCAGGGATTTATGAATATATGTGTAAATTAACTCATTTACCCCTGGAGACACATTTGTGCAATTCAGTTTTTTCACAAACCAAATTTGTTGATGAAGCCTAGGAAACATAGTATCCAAATCTATAATGATTTGGAAGATACAAAATATATATAATAGCAAAAGTGAAAATAACACTGAAAAAATATTAATTACATTTATATATCAGTGAACATGGAATATTGGAACCCAAAAAATTGGTGGGTGGTACGATAGTGCCGTGGATCACCATGTTTGTTTCTCTGGGTACTCCAGTGTCCTTCGGGTACCACAATAACACCCATTGCACGCTAACATCTGGGCCAACAGGAGTGATAAATATAAGTTGATATAACTTGTTTCATAATTGTTTAAAAATAAATATAGTTCATATTAAATTAAATTGAGAAATAACTGCAATAGAACATCTTTTGAACTTTTTTACCAGCAAAAGCTACCAACCTCCCTAACTTTAAGGGCAATCAGTGCTAGGGTTGGTCCACTTGAGGCATATGTGTGGTAATTTGTAAGATGCTTGAATATGCACTCTTACTGAGTTAGCAAAACCACATTGCATGTAACTTCAACGATACCTTTGCATCTGTGAGATCTAATGAGGTCGTGTACAGGATACTCTTGCAGCGATCAGTATTCAAGCTGTAAGTAAAAAGTGTCGGGAAACGTTTGATTTTGATGAACAAAAGACCATAAAGCTTTAAAGTGAACATGATGAATGTCAAAACATCTATTTGATGCAGATTTGCACCTAAATATTATGATATACCGATAAAATTGACTTTTCATGTACGTAAGACTTTTACTGTGAATATCTTTAACACTGAGTACATATTGTTCTAACTGTTGTACTGTTAAGGTCAACCCTTTCACCACTGTAGACCAAAATAGACTCACCCAGATGAACGTATGGTAGAGTCGACTAAAGTTACTGAGGGGTGAAAAGGTTAGGGATCGCTGTAACGCTACAAAAAAATGTACCTGTGAATTGGAAACTTGTTTACTGGAATGACAATAGCGTTTATAAATCATTTCTAAAAAGAAAACCATGTTTTGCAGAATTTGTATGAAAACATTATAAAGATAAAGGAACTGAAAAATCAAAACCAACAGTGTTCTGAGAGTAAAGTAAAATTTTGAGGGACAAATCAGGAATTGAACCTAATCACAATACCGTTGTTCTTACCAACTGAGCTACCCGATTAGCAGTAGTTGCATAAATTAGTCCCCCTGCAGTTATCTATGTAAAACGAAATTAAGGGGAGGTTACTGTATGTTTGAAAAAGTACAGTGGAACTCTCTAGTGTTTTACCTGCAGTGGGACAGGATCGAATCCTTAACTCATTCACCCCTGAAAACGCATTTGAACGCTTCCAATTCAAAGGCTGGAAGAGTTCATTATGAAATTTCAGGGGTGAATGAGTTAATGTATATGGTCAATGTTTTTGTCAATTTCAAATCAAGGATATTGATCTAGGCCATTTTATTTCTGTAATGAAGCCCTTGAGATGAGGCTAAATGCTAATTAACCTTCTGTTTATAATTAATGGAAATTTATCTAAATGTTTTTAAGTTGCAAATCCCATTTATTATAAAGAGATAATATTTTAGTCATGAATGAAATTACACAGTATGTAAGGCTGTGACCTTGATATAGAAATGAAAACACATTCTGCTGAGCGGACTAGTTTAAATAAGCTTGCAAATCACCAATAAATCGGTCTCCGCGTTTCATTAAAGACAAAAAGAGTGTAATTTACATAAATTGAAGTGTGTGTTGCCGTGTTTGCCTTGGGTTTTATCACACATGTTTTTCATTAATGAAAGGCTTGGAGCCTTGAAATGGATTATGCTACGATTTCCTAATCACGCCAATGTCTGCCACACGTTTCCAAAGCTTTGTTAGCCACGATGTTTCACAGAATTTCATTCCATTCAGTTAGGTGCAGTGCTTGCATTGAAATAGAATTACAGTTTTTAAACTATTGAAGTATTTATCTTAAATTGATTTTCAAAAAAACACAGTATTGAATAGTTTGTGTTGTTTGATAAAAATCGATGGAAAATTCTTACGGAAATATGATCTTGTTCAATATAAATCTGTAGGACTACAAAATCTACCGAATTTATCCTGCAAAAATGCCCAGGGGGCTTACACATAATCTCTGACTCAAAATAGAGGGTGGACTTATCTAAAGACAATACGTATTATCATGGGTTGGTTTATTTCAAGGCATGGGCTTATTGCCTTATAGATATGGTAATGATTATAAGTTACATCAGATTAACATGATAGATAGGGTTGTTGCTGTGTTTATGTTATGAAATTTCATTATGATGGTACTTTGTAGTGGGCCGTCCATCATTGGACAAAGTCATCCTACGACTTTAGCTGTTGCGAAAACACAAAAAGCCAATCATATCAATCAATCAGTCTAAGGTGTTGAGATGTCATGATGACTTCAAGAATATATTCATATCATGACTTTAGTTTAAATCCATTTTATTAGCAGTATACCTGGAAATTTGTCTCAAAGAATGAATATTTATCAATTATGGACTTTTGTTGAGGTGAATATCTGGTTATATGGACCCTAAAAGGATATATTGACCGTGACGAAGTAGAGAGGGTAATAGTGTGTAAATGAGAGGGTAATGTTGTGTGTATTTCAGAGGGTAATACTGTTTGTATTATAAAGTTATTTGATATATTGGAAGGTTTTATGAGAGGGTTATATTGCATACATTAGAAGATAATACTGCTTATAGTATACACACAGGGTAACTTTATATAAATTTGAGGGTAATAATGTATATCACAGGGTAACTTTATATAAATTTGAGGGTAGTATTGTATTTATCACAGGGTAACATCATACATATTTGAGGGTAATATTGTATTTATCACAGGGTAACTTTATATAAATTTGAGGGTAGTATTGTGTATCACAGGGTAACTTTATATAAATTTGAGGGTAATAATGTATATCACAGGGTAACTTTATATAAATTTGAGGGTAGTATTGTATTTATCACAGGGTAACATCATACATATTTGAGGGTAATATTGTATTTATCACAGGGTAACTTTATATAAATTTGAGGGTAGTATTGTATATCACAGGGTAAATTTATATAAATTTGAGGGTAGTATTGTATATCACAGGGTAACTATATATAAATTTGAGGGTAATATTGTATTTACCACAGGGTAACTTTATATAAATTTGAGAGTAATATTGTATATCACAGGGTAACTTCATATATATTTGAGGGTAATATTGTATTTATCACAGGGTAAAATCATACACATTTGAGGGTAATATTGTATTTATCACAGGGTAACTTTATATAAATTTGGGGGTAATATTGTATTTATCACAGGGTAATTTTATATAAATTTGAGGGTAATATTGTATTTATCACAGGGTAACATCATATATATTTGAGGGTGATATTGTATACACCAGAGGGTAACATTATATATACTTGAGGGTGATATTTGTATATATTAGAGGTAAGGGATCTTATCTTTTCTGAGCTCCTGATTTGAGTGAAATCCATCATGCTAACCATGCTCTGTGCCTCAGACATCGAAGGGCATACACGTTGGAGTCATTCTGATTAGTCCTGTATTAATTACCCTAAAATAGATTTTTCCTGTTTGCTATCTAAGTCAGATGCACTCTTGATTTAAATGCATCTGACTGCAATAATGTAAAGAACATTTGAGAAGCCATCCTATTTGAAGGGAGGTAATCCATAACTTACAATTTCCTGTCCTGCATTCAAAGGGAGATAATTCATAAATAACTAATGCAATTTTGAACAAATTTTATAAGATATATTTGCTTCTATACAAAAAGAAATTAACAGTTTACCAGACAAAAAATGTTGTTATTAATAAGCCTCAATTATTGTATTACTCTTTATTTTATAGCTGAAAGCTGTTTTAAAAATAATGTTTGTACTTGTTTATGTTTTAAATAATATACTATTTCTTAGAAAATAAAACTTGAAAAATACTTGTTTTTAGAAATAAATAGATCAAATGTATTACTACTGATAAAAAGTTATTTTTCAATTGTATTATCTTAAATTTGTTTTGTTCAATCAGCATTATAACTAAAAATATTTTTTTGTTTTTGTATTTTCCAGAATCCCAAAGAATGTGACACAGGAACAGATGATGTTAAAACACAGTGAAGGCATTTATACATTATCAGGGAAATAGTCTCAATGACATTATATTAAATATGGATTTATCTGTTAAACCTGATGGCTCTACACTGCATACTCAGGGATATCCGCAAGGGAGGAGGAAGATGTCACTAAACTACACAGCTCAGGGTGAGGGGGAAGCCAGATCGGGTGGTAGCCCCCCATTTAATAGTTCAAATGACACCTTCCCTTATGGGCTTAGCGGCGTTAGTATGCCGAATTACGGGTATCCAGGTGACCTCTATCAATTCACATCAAACGGCTACCCGCGTAAGTCTAGGACATGTTGTTACTGCGGGAAGGTGTTCACACGATCGACGACACGACGTTACCATGAAAAACGTTGTCCATTGTTACGTGCAGCTGTCTGTGGCATTATGCCCGACAACGGTAAAAGACAAATTGGCCCAGGGACTGGCGTTCCCCCCGGGCATAGTGGACACGGAGTAGATAAGCCATCGGCTACCTCAATGACGGGTGTGGGTCACCCGTCTGCCCCCCACTTACCTACCTCACATCTGGCTTCGCATCCTTCCATGGTGTTGAAGCGGGAACAAAACGGACTTGGATATCACACCAGCGTTATAGTCAAACAGGAGAACCAGGATGTCAACGGTGCAACAAGACACATGTCAGGGCATCGATTGGGCACTGATGGGTCACATGATCTAGATACGAACATGACAAGACTCACGCCCGATTCCAATGGGTCCTCCCCACGCCCTTCAAAGCTCGGGGATATGTCTGGATTCTCATTATCGCCCTATCAAGGACACAGTGGTTTATCCTTTTCCAAATCACCTTCACAAGGATCAACAAAGGGTGACATTAATTCGCTGGTGCAAGACGAGGGTGAGAAAGAGGAGGATATGAAGGACGACATAGAAAATGGATCCGATTTGGACATTCCTGATTCAGAGACATTTCAGGAACGCATGAAAGACGATGAAGCACGAGCTAACGATTTAAACTTTACCTCACCAGGGCGAGGTGACGCCTTGCTTTTAGATGGAACTACCTCAAATAACTTGGGCGATCTGACCGGGACGCTCAGCGATGACGACAAGAACTCAAATGACAAATCAAAGTGTTACTTCGAAGGCGAAACTGTATGCGGGGTATGTGGTAAAAGCTTTGAGTCATCCTGGCAGCTGCATGTTCATGAACAGATTCACAAGAAATTCAAACCGTACGCATGTCGCTTCTGCAACCAGCGGTTCTCAAAGGCAGCACTGCGCATAGCGCATGAACGCGAACACATCACAGAAGACTGTAACTGCGTCATCTGTGGTAGTACGTTCAACGAGAAGGAGGGTTTACGACAACACATGATTAATCGCCATAGAGATGGACCATGGCTATGCCGCTACTGTGGTAAGCCAGAGGTGTCCAATCAGGAGATGGTAGATCACCTCCAATCACATGACCTGCCCAAGGAGGAGTTGCTATCACTACAATACTTTGTAGCCGCACCCCTTGACAACGCAAACAACAACGACAGCGACAATAATCTCAATGACTCGGAGCTTAACGAAGTGGATAATATCAATGACTCGGAGCTGGTATCAATGTCCGATTCAAATGACAACATGACATCGCCTGATCAAGAATCACCCGGGGATAACCTCGCTACAGTAGAACAGGAAATTATGTCGTCAGCGGAACTGATGACGACAGCAGACTTGATGTCATCACAGGATATGATGTCACAAGAGAAGGAAATGTGTACTATATGTGGGAGGGATTATCCCAAGAGTCATATGGCCTATCACATGAAGGCGCACGAGGGTCACAAACCATATGAATGCCCTATATGCGGTAAGCGATTCGGGTACAAAAACAACATGAAGTCACATATCAAGTTACATGCTGGTATCAAACCATATCAGTGCAATGTATGCGGAGCCAAGTTCACTCGAGGCTCCACGTTACGGCGCCATGCACGACGCCATGGAATTTCTGCGGAGAGCGTGTGGGACCTGTTTGTGAGGAACAGCAGTTCGTCCCAGACCCCCGGCCAGATGCACACCCCACGCAAAACGGTGGCCGACACGAGCCACCTGGATTCCTCACCAACGACTCTCACCACCTCCAAGGACTTGCTCACAGCTAACGGATCCTACGGCAATCTCTTCAACACTTCTACCTCAGCTGCGATGTCCAATGCCCTGCTGATGAGCTACCACAATCACCAGGCGGCTGTTGCAGCCACTCTGCCCTCGTTCTTCTCCCCACTCCAGTCTACCTCAGAAGTGCCCCCGCCGGCTTTACAAGGCTTCTCGACTAGTCAAACACCGCAGTCGGATGCACTCAACCTCTCTACTCACAAATCCACAAGCCAAGGACATCTTGTAGGCCTCCATCATCGCAGTCTCGTAGAATCTATCTCCCCTACCTCAGTGGAACGTTCCAGATCCAGATCGCTCAGTGGCTCTGATATTTCAAGGCCCACACCTATATCTGCTCCAGGTCTGGCAACGAAAAATGGAACTGAAATTGGAATTCAGGTCAAGATGTGTTGTAAGATGGGCCTAGAGCAGACCTATAGCGGTGCTCAAAGCCCCAGCGAGGCGAGTGTTCACTCAGGTGACAGCGGTGCTTTGTACCAGGCTCAGTCTTCATCTGCAGGACTGGAGAGCTCCACCGACTCCATAGCGACACTGATGGGGTCTGGCCGCCTCTTCAAGTGTGAACATTGTGAATGCTACTTCTCCGAGTATGCCATGTACCGTATCCACACTAAGATTCACTCGGGTGGGCGGACAATGCCGTTTGTCTGTCCCGTTTGTGACGAGGACTGTCATGACCGCGTCTACTTCTCGCTACACATCTCGGAGCATTTACGATGACTAAGGCACGTTATAGAAATGAATTGGTGAGCCGGAGGGCTGAGTAAACAAGCCGAGAGCAGAAGGGTTTATCCTTTTGCTACAAGCTTTATTCAATGCACGCTAACTACAGCATCGAGAACGGGTAGAAAAAACGTTGAGGTGGAAAAATGAATGATTTTTCATTGTTGATATTACATAGAGATACTTGTTTTAACACATTAAGGATATGAATCGAAATGTTTGTTTATATAACAAATTATGTGTATGTATATATAGTATAAATATATATATGCCGTAAATATATCTATATATGTATATGTTCATGTTTCTGTTCAGTCTCATAGATATTTGCTTTATATATATATATATATATATTCAGGGTAATCCGAATTACCCAGCATTCTTTTTTTTCCGGTTTTCAACCAGCGTTACCTCATCCCTCTGTTGTGCTTTGACGTTTTTCGAAAAAGTGTTGTCATAGTTATAATTTTGTTCCAGATTTTGTTTCCATGGTTACGCACATTATTTCTATTGGGTTTTTTCCCGAAAAAGTTGAACCATGAGTTTGAAATCTGTCGTTACCACATGTGATTGTTAGCTAAAATCTGCTCCGTAGGTTGAGTTGACATTATCAGAAGTTCTACAAAAAGATTATGTTTTTTGCAATTATATATATTTTGTTATTTACCTCTTGAAACGTTGACAACACTTTTTCCACATTGCAAGCACACTCGTGTCAAAGAGTCTTTTTGGGAAATGTAGCTGGCATCATCTCACCATATCCCTACTACATATTACACATAGCCTCACTTTGGGAGACATACTCATCGCTATCTAACATCATATTTCATATATCGTATAGTATTTATCAATACAACGCAAGAAGAAATGTTTTTAGATTCTCATCATCTAAATTTAGGTTTGTGAGAGAAAGACAAAACAATTTTAAAAATAGTTAACCCATTCACCCCTGAAATTTCTTAATGAACTAGTCCAAAATTTGAATTGGAAGAGTTCAAATCTATCTTCAGGGGTGAATGAGTTAATAGTCTCTATGTATCCTTACTTACTTTGGAGATTTCTTTATTTTCGATTCCTCTTCATTTGAAAGCACTTATTATTCTTTGATGCCCAAATGTTTGCCAAGATTTACTCCAGTGATAAATCAAAAAAAAAACTTTTAATATAAATCTGAACACATAAAAATATCTAATGGTAAACGGTTTCACTTTGAATAAGAATATGATTTACTTATATACCCAACAATACATGTGTTTGATAGGGATGAGAATCTAAAAACAAGTTCTTTTGACACAAAAGCTCCATTTTTTGCATTTTGATTGTGCAATTTGTTTTTTTGTTTGAATATTATGTCGGCAGCAGCAGGTTTTGAGTCTTTATCACACAGGCTCTTGTTTATTGTTTACAAATAAAACGTTGTTTATTTTGCACATTTCATGATTATCGATAACTCAGGGATGAACCTTCATTAAAAGCATTTTGATATTCAAACAGTTTTCAAACAAATTATATAGGAAATTATCATTACAATTTCATTACGAAGTTTTATTATACACATTCAAACGCCTCTGTTCATTTTACAACACTGTATATGTAGTAACGCTGAATGTATATATACTTACCCCCATGTAGTCCTATTGTTTAGTAGACTAACCTGTACCACTCTCCCTCGGCCCTCACCACAAAACTACCTCACCTATTCAGTATGACCTCTGAACCTCCTACTTTTACAAGTACATTCATTTACTGCAAAACATAAGATAGTTATTACCTCAGACAAAATATTGTGGCTTAACTTTTTTTTCACAGCTCAATTTTTGAACTTTTTATTCACAAATACAATAGATACAATTTCTTGTCACAATTCAAGCAGTTTGTTGATCTATGTAAGCAAACTTCGAAATTCTTGGTAAACTGTTGAAAACAAATTTTAATGACATTGACAAACACTGATAATACAGATACATTACAATATAAAATACTGTAGTTTGAGTAAGACAAATATGTGACAGTGCAAGACCCACTAGCTGGTGGCACACTCATCGTCAGGTGGCACCAGTAGTACACACACTCACCACCAGGTGGCACCAGTAGAACACACAAAACACCACCAGGTGGCACCAATGGTACACACAAAACACCACCAGGTGGCACCAGTAGTACACACAAACACCACCTGGTGGCACCAGTAGTACACACAAACACAACCAGGTGGCACCAGAAGTACACACAATCACCACCAGGCGGCACTAGTAAGACACACAAACCACCAGATGGCATCGTTTCCCCCTATTTACCACCAGGTAGCCAGTTCCACCCGACTGCCACAAGTCGCACCAACCCGCAATCGGGTCGCACCGATAACACTTGCCCACCACCAGGTGGCACCACAAACACAGTCACCACCCGGTGCCACCAGTTGCACCGATCCACCACCAGGTGGTGTCAGCTACAGTCCCAGGACCTTGTGACGTACTGATACCTCACTGTACATATGTATGTTGTGTAAAACTATTGATAAATGTACATTATTATTGTGCTCGCTCACTTTTTACCTCATTCGTAATGTTTTTTCTCTCCATTTTTCATATGACTTAATATCTCACAATCAATTCAGGTTTAATGCTGACTTGTCGAGTTATGTTGATGATGCTAATGATGATGATGACTATAATCTTCTTCTTTTCCATAATGATATTTGAAGTACATATTATACCGTTTGTTATTGGTTATTGTAGTTTAGAAGGAAATTATAAGTGTAGATAGGATGTTACGCTATTTGTTAATACAGACTATTTTTGTACAGAGATACACCCGATATGGAAGGAATCATCGTCGACTTCAGCAAAAGAAAAACAAATTTTACGTCAGTTTTCCAAGTCATAGCTATTTTTTGTGTTCTGATGCATAATTGTAAAATTACGACAAAAAGCTTCGCAAACAAATGTGCAAGGTTTGGTCGTTAAAAATTTACTTTTTCGTTGAATGAATTGTCATGTTTGGTTATTGAAGTTTGCCATATTTGGTCAATTTTCATTGACATGTTCTGTCCATAAAAAAATGTCATTTTTGATCATTGAAAACTGCTAATTATTAAGTCCAATGGTTTTTTTGTTTTTTTTGGCCAATGGAAATTGTCAAATTATGTCAATGAAAAAAAGCCATTTTTTAACAATGGACATATTTTGGTCAATGAAAATGGCCATTTTTGGACTAGAAAATATGCTGAAATTAACAGAAGTAATACTTGCTCCTTTGTCGCAAATGTTGAAACTTCAATTTTAATAGAATGGACAGTGATCAATGCGATTCAATCACATTCACAATATGCTGGTACGTTGTGATCAATCAAATGTTAATTTTAGTAATTTCTGTTTATTTCAATCGGAAAAGTATTATGAGATATTGCAACATTTTCAAAGGAGGTGAAATCGTATTTTCATTGGCAGAGACCCTATACACTGCATTGCTGGCCTGTGTAGTTTATTTTCCAATTTAAATTATCTTTAATAAAGAAAAATTTGCATTAGTATTTTTTTGGCAGTTACAAATAATTTTCAAAGTTTCATAAATTGATAAATGAAATATAGGTGTTTTGTTGACAAAAAATACTTTTACAAAGTCTAATCTACATTTAAAGGGAAATCAAATTAGCAAGAAAAGAGAGATAAAAATTAGAGATAAATTTTAAAAGACATTCAGTTGAAATCTCAGTTAACAGTGCCATTTTGTAGTTGTTAGTGGAGCACGCCAAAAGTTCAGGACAGAAAATTTTCAGAGATTTTACTAATCTCAGGGTACTCTTGTTATTTGTGTTTATAATTTATATGTCTCCAAGTCTGTCCTACAGCAGGTTACCTAACAAGGAATGGATCCGGCGTGTTCCCTGCTGTTCTATAAATAGTGCACTCCCTCAGGTAGAGTTGTCCCCCTTACTTCCATATATAGAAACCCTTTATTGGTTTTTTTGGAAGTTCCATGGTAGCTACTGCTTATTCCTAGAAAGATGCAGATTTCAGTTTTGTTTTTTCCTGTTGAAATTTTATTGTTACTAAAATAAAGGGGGGAAAAGCTAATAATCGTGCTAAAAAATCTATTTCAAAATGATTTCTGTCATTTTTTGTAAAAGAATGATTATCGGAGAAATTAAAAATATCAGGAATAGGTATCGCAGAGCTAGTTGATATCCCTTAAATTTCTCAGGTCAAAGAAATATCATGTCAACCTGTTCAATGGTAAATCAATGTTCCTCGTGTATGTTCCGTTTTAGAGGTTTTGAAATTCATTCATATGTAATGATCTGACGTAATATTCATGTTAACTTTTGAAGGTGTATCACCCCCCAATCTATTCATTCTATAATATATATACACATATATAATTTCAAATGTCATCTAGTTGTATGAATTTAGCCGTTTATCTTGCAGAATAGAAGGATTCATATTTTTTTTCTTTATCTCTTTTTCCTTTTCTCTTCATAAGACCTGTATTCCTCTTCATATAAATTCATTGTGAGCACGTTGGTACGATGTTGTGGTCGCATGTGTTGGTGATAAAAATTGCTAAATATAGATTGAGATACTATTGTTGCACTTCAGTTCTCCATATTAACCTATAAACTTCCTTATATGGCGAAGACGTCACTTGTGGTCTTTAGAAAGAACGGGTTTTAATGATATTTCAATTTTTACATATATACCTCATGTCTACATATGATCACGTGTTAGAAGTTAGTGATATAAGGTTCAATTGCATTATGTCTATATATAGATAATTGTCATAACCTGTTTTGTACATTTTGTGCGTCTTTTAATGTGGTTGTGCTCGTTACCATAGTTATTTGTATCAATTGATAAAATCATAAATCTTTTTAATTCTTTTTTTTTTCACATATAGGTGTTTTCTTGCTGCGTATAGTTAGATAAACGCAAGGAGCTATTGTAGAATTGTTTGTTTAGATCTGAATATTTTCAGGAAAAGACTCAAATGATTAAAGTATATTGGACATATTTATACACAAATTCTTTACAAGTAAACACAAATTGTAAGTAATTTTTGTTTTTTTTTCTGGGCAATACGGGCATAAATGAAGTAATTAATTAACTCAGCTACCTCAAATGCATTCATTGAATTGTAACCTCCTCCCCACGCATTCTATTGCTAGTTAAATAAACTAGCCCTATTTTGATTGGCTAGATGAAAATATCGTCTAACATAGCTTACCTATACTCTGGCCTTGAATGGTCTGGTGATAAA